TTCATTAGTTTTATACGTGTTTGGGATAGCACAGTATGTTTTCTCCTTACAGGGCAAATGTGAAAAACGAGTACAGGATGTAATTGAGCGATTTTGGGATTTCATTGACCAATTGAGCATCAACACTTTCGGTAAGTGAAATATTTTCGGTAAGTGAAATATTTTCTGTATTTACCAAGAGCTGTGATTTCCATGGCAACACAGGCGTGGTGCAGAATTTGTGCTGTGATCCTATGACAGAAGACATATTTGTTATGAAGTAACTCTGTTGGGGATTAGAGAGATGGCTCAGGGTTAACGACACTGGTTATTCTTCCAGAGGATCTGAGTTCAGTTCCCAGCACCCATGTGGTGGTTCATAGTTATCTGAAATGCCAGTTCTGAGGAATCCAACACCCTTTTCTGGCCTTCCAGGGCACTGCATTCATATGTGCACAGACATATGTAGAGGCAGAATACATCAAAGTAATGGTTAAAAGCTGGGCATGGTAGCACATGCCTTTAATCCTAGCTCTTGGGAGGCAGGAGGACTTGAGTTTGAGTCCAGCCTGGTTAACAAAGTGAGTTCCAGGAAAGCCAGGGCTATTAAACATGGAAACCCTGTCCTGAAAAACCACACACACACACACACAGTTATATTTAAAAAATGCTTTGTAGGCTAAGACAAAACTCACTCATCCATCCTTATGTATCTTGCATGCGTGAGTTTTTAGAGAGTGGTCCAACTGAACTTGGTTCAGTCTTGTGATCCTATTTGAGCTATTTACCAGTAGGTCTCAGGTTTTGCAGAAGGCAAAACTCCCTAGAATTCTAATATAAAAGTAGTAATCTTCAGGTAATAAAAGTATTGTCTCCTAAGCATGGTGTGCTGTGTCTCTTTGGCACTGTGGACACAGGAAGCAGGCATAATACTCTCTAGTTCCTTCACCCCCAAACACAGCCTGACCATAATACTCAAGAGTGTTTGGTAGTCGACTTGTGAGGTATGTGGTTGAGACGCTCACTGTTTGGAATTGTTCACAGGAAAGTTTTTGGCAGACAACATCGTAGGGTCCGTCCTGGTTTTCTCCTTGATATTCTGGATTCCTTTCAGCATTCTTGTCCACTGTGTGGTAAGTGATCAAACATTTTACAGAGATGTCGAGCAGCTCCAGGTTGAAAGATAGATGTGAGTGTTGCCAGTGCTGTTGTGAGTGTTCTGTGACAGAACCTCGGAGCCTGCCTGACGATCTTTGAACCGAATGGGACTGGATACTTAGCTCAGCTAGTAGAGGGCTTCTGGAGCTTGCCCAGGGCCATGTGTTCTTCCCCAGTACTGAGTAAACTAGGGCATGCACTCAGGAGGACCAAGAGCTCCATAGTGACCTCATGGGTCCCTGTCAGCATGAGACACCTGCTGCCAGACCCATGCTCTTTCCCAGGACCTAGATGGTGGAAGGAGAGAATTGACTCCCCAAGTGGTCCTCCTCCCTCCACAGCCAGGTTTTAGCTTGTAGGCTATGGCTCACTCACACACAACATACAGTTTTTAAAGTGTGTGTGTATTCTTAAACACAGGAGAGCATTTAGCTGGCCTTGCCTGTGACGTATAGTCAACAGGAGCACTGTTTTGGCTGGCTTGGTTTTAGGGGAACAAGTACAAACACTGCAGACACTCCCCATGTGCTGTGGAGATTGTTGACAGTCTCGTCTTCACAAATAAGTTAACAGTTACATGTTAAATTAGACTTTGTCTTTAGAACTCCAGGCACTTTATACATTGTGAGTTTTAAAAAATTTACCTTGAGGGCTGGAGAGATGGCTCAGTGGTTAAGAGCTGGCTGCTCTTCCAGAAGTCCTGAGTTCAATTCCCACCAACCAACCACATGATGGCTCACAACCATCCGGAATGAGATCTGGTGCTCTCTTTTGGTGTGAGGGCGTACATGGAAGCTGAATGTTGTATACATAATAAATATATAAATAAATCTTTAAAAAACAACTTACCTTGCATGGTTAGGGAGTAGGTGCCTTACAGGTGAAAGATGAGTCTTGGTGTCTGAAGCTCCCAGTGCCTCCTGATTCCTGCAGTGTGGAAAGCACTGGCACTTGTACTGAGGCAGAGCTGCTGTCGTAGTGACAGACCTGAGGCTGTTAGAAGATGCGTCTTAGGACAGCAGTCGCACCCCTCCCCAGGGCTGCCGCTGCACGTTGAACAGATCTTGTGTTCACTGAAAGGTGTACATGTGGACCATGAAGCTGATCTTGGTGGTTTGTTTCTAGCCACAGAACACATTCATGTCACCAGACATTAAGTTGTGGCCCAATTCTTGGTGCTGCCTTTCCCTTTGTCAGTTAGCATTCAGCCTCCTGCAGAAATACAGTATGGGGGATCAAGATTCGGTTCTGTGAAAGAGTCAGGACCGAGGGAGGCCATGAACCTTAACCTTTGCCAACTGTCCCAATGCACAGGCATGTGGATATGGGCTGATTGTGTTGCACACAAACCCACTTGTCCTTCTACCCACAGTGTAAGACGTCTTTGAAAGCAGGACTTGAAGTCCCTCCTCAATGTACCCTCGCCACTGTTGTAGAGCAGCACTTCTTTCCTGGGAGCTGAAGTGCCTTCTCAGCTAGCGAGCCTGTCCCTGGGGGTCAGGTTCTTCGTGATAGTGTGGAGGGGTGGCAGGTAGAACAAGGCCTCACGTGCTGGGCCACTGCCCCAGTGCTGAGCCGTACCCCTGCTGCCCTGCCCTGCAGTAGAGGGTCTGCGTTCACTCAGCCTTGGAGTATTGGACAGGAAGCAGTACTGCTTGAGGGTTGGGCTCCTAGTTTTAATGACATTTTTACTTCCTGTTCTTTGTAGGATAAGAAACTGGACAAACAGTATGAATCCCTGTCTCTGTTTCACCACAGCGTAAGTACACACAGAAAACCAGAGCAGGCCTCAGCTCTTCCCTCCCAGGAAGGATTGGGTGTTGAGTGGTCCTGAGAAAGTGGCTTAGTCACAGGGGTGGAAAGCTGAGAGGAACCCTGGTCTCCCAAAAAACAGGTGCTGACCCAGCCTCTCAGTTTTTCCGTCACGGATTTTGGTAGACTCAAGGTGTGGGAGCCTCTCCTGGTCCTTGAGCGCTGCCCAGGGCTACTGTGGGGGAAGGTAACAATTTAACAGTGACCTTTGACTCATTTCTCCCCACCCTTTGGACCATGCCTTTCCAGAACATTGAGATGCTGAGCAGCATGGATTCGGCGTCTGTTCGCATCATCAAGCCTTTTCCTGCACCCCAGACTCCAGGTCGTCTGCAGCCCCTGCAGCCGGCCTCCATGATGCCGCCAGTGTCTGCGGCTCCCAAACTGGAGCACCAGAGGATGGACACCATCCAGGAAGACCCCAGCACAGACTCGCATGTGGATGACGATGGCTTTGAGAAGGACCCCTTCCCCAACAGCAGTGCAGCTGCCAAGTCCTTTGAGGACCTCACAGACCACCCAGTCACCAGGAGCGAGAAGGCGGCCTCCTTTAAGCTGCAGCGCCAGAACCGAGTTGACAGCAAGGAGACAGAGTGCTAGTGAGGAGCCTCGCCCTGCTCCAGGACGTACATGCGCAGATGCTCTAAGAGCCGACCTAAACCAAACAATGCCCCCAGGAACACGCAAGCAACCTAGCAGATGCTGGTCATATGACATGACTGTCATGACATCCTGTGTAGGTGTAGGCCCTTTGAAGGGGTGAGGTAAATCTGACTCATTTCAGGTTTTGGGTTTTTTCTTTTATAATCTAAAATCTCCTTTGACCTGTGGTGCAAAAACAGAAACTAAGGCTGGATGGAGTCCTTGGTGACAGCGCTGACCATCTGCAGTCTGTCTCTCTGTACACTGTAATGGTCCCCTGGCCACAGTTCTTAGTGAGGGTAACTGGAACAAACAGACTTATTATCTCTTTGCCTTTAAGTAAAAGCAGAGGAACCTGGTTATATGTACATTGTCCCCTAATGTGGCCTGTCTTGGCACTGAAACACTTAGGACCATGCTGACTTAAGGATGGTCCTGTCCAGGATGAAGACTCGAGCTTCAGGTGAGGTCTGCAGTAATAGCTGCGTGCGTGTAGAGATGGCCTACAAAGTGTAAGAAGACAATTCAATATTGAGCTGCAGAGTTGGCCCCATCTGTTACGAGCTCTGTACTCCAGTCCCAGGGGATCAGATGCCCTCTTCTGACCTCTGCGGCACCAGGCAGGCATGTGGTGCACAGACATGCAGGCAAAATACTCACATACATAAAATAAAAAGCCCAGTGCTGTAAGAAATTTCGGTATCCACGAAACCTATCCTGCCTCAACCCCCAATGAGAAGGACACGGCTGCGGTGTCAGCTTGCCTGAGTGAGCAGGCGCTCTTACAGGCCACCTGGGGCAGCCCCAGCAAGTAGGTACTCACACGACCTCTGGCTTTAGTGCGTCAGGATCCTGGGTGCTCTGTACTTACCGTGTGAAGGATGAAAGTCATTAGCCTGGATTCTGGTTTCTATAAAGTCTACTTACAAAAGCATTTGTTCTAAGAGTCGAAATGTGCTCACCAGCCAACACGTTTTAACCAAGATAACTTGTAATCTCTGAGGACAACTAACCAGACCTGTGCCTTGTCTCTCCGAGGATGTCTGTTACACTAATACTTGAACGTGTACCTTGTGGTATTTGCTCTTAACTAGCCATGGTAGTCTTACATTTTGAGGATTTGCTATAAGGTGAGTAGGGTGTGTGGGTGTTTGTATGAATCAAAGTTTTGGAAAACCATTTTTATAAAATTATGACTTTTAAAACAAACCAAAAATGTCTTTTTTTTTTTTTTTTTTTTGCCATGTACAGGATTAACAAGCTGCTCAGGGTATATTCTGTAGCTGTGGCTGTTTCAATAAATACTGAACATCAAAACAAAATGGGTCTAGAACAACATTTCCCTGAAAAATAAGTTATTTACACTGGCAAACGTTAATAGGTTTTTTGATCAAAAGTCATGAATGGGGTAGGGGGCTGGAGAGATGGCCTGGTGGTTAAGAGCACTGGCTGCTCTTCCAGAGGATCCAGGTTCAGTTCCCAGCACCCACACGGCAGCTCACAACTTTAACTCCAGTTCCAGGGGATCTGACACCCTCACACAGACATACATGCAGGCAAAACACCAATGTCTATAAAGATGTTAATCTTGAAAAAATGTTTAATTAGCTTCTAGATGTTTGTGAATTACCAACTGGGAAGGTTTCCCGGGCCGACTAATGGTCTCCGTCCCCTAGAAGACTCAGCTCGGGCTTTGCTTCCTCCACGTCCTTCCAGTAGGGAAGCAGCCATGGCAGAGAGGAGAATTTCTTGTCCAGCAGCTGCCAGAGGTTTAAGAACAGAAACTCGTTTCCCACTGGTGATAAATGCAGGCCATCTGATAGATAGGATGAGAAGTCCTGTAAGGAGAGGAGTAACATGTCATGTGGCTTCCTGGGGTTGGCCCTTGTGTTTGTGCACAGACCAATGACTGGGACCACAGTGGCCTCAGAGTTTCTGTACAGGTACAAGACCCTTGCTGCCTGTGCTTCTGTGTCCAACAGACCCATATTCCTGGGTCTCAGACTTAATGAGGGCCTATGATTCACAGCATTAAGAAGGCGCAGGATCCTCCTAGGATGTGGGCAGGTTGGAGGTGACAAGAACTTGGACTACAATAGGAAGGCTAGACAAGAGTCTAGTCTCCCAGCACTCCTGCCTAAACCCAGGATTTACTCTGAGGAATCTTCCCTTGCCTAACCGCCGTGGAGACTGTTTAGGGAGGAGAACTCCAGTTCTAGTGGCCTTTCCCACCTGGATGGTCCCGGATTACTGATCTGTCAGGAAGATGCTCTTAGTCCTGGACCTAGACTAGAAAACTTTCCTAAACTGGAAAAGGCTTGAGTAAAACTAGGCAGTGGTAGAAGACACCCTTCCTGTACTTCCGGAGGAAAGGGTACACACATGTCATGGTGGCACGAGGAGGCCAAAGGGCAGTTTGTAGGAGTTGGTGCTCTCCAACCACCAAGGAGGTGTTTAGGGTCAAGCTCAGGTCATCAGGCCTGGCAGTTAGGTGCCTTTCCCAGCTGAGCCGTCCTGCTGGCCCTGGAGCAGATTAAGCACTGAGCCTGCCGTGGCCCTTCCACTAGGGGAACAAAGCTCAGTGAAGGGTGCCGAGGACCACTGGAGACCCGGGGCTCCGAGAGCCTCCAGAGATGATGTTCTCAAGTCAGCGGCTACTGGGCATCCTGAACTGACGGTCTCTGCCTTCCAGCACCAGTCCAGGCTGTGCTCTGTCACCTTCCAGTAAGGGAGCAGCACCACGTCCCTCTTTACAGATGAGCTGTAACGTCAGACCCGGGTCCGTGGAGGCCGGGATGGATTGAGAATCAGAGAAGGGCGAAAGGTTAGTGTGTGGTTTGGTGACTCTGGGCTGAGGGCTATCCTTAGTCAACACAGCAAAACCAAACAGCTGTGAAGAACAAAACCCGGGTTGAGGGGGTTCTCCTTTGCCCGAGCACTTCAAACACCACAGCCCCGTCCCTCAGCACCACAAGGAGATGCCCCTAGAGAGCAAGCACTTTACTAAGGAATAAAAAGTAGGGAAAGACCCAGCAGACTGCTTAGCGCGTGCTAAGTCCCCAGAACCCACTTCCAGGGTGGAGGTGGGAAGTTCAGAAATTCAAGGTCATCCTCTGCTACAAAGCCAAGTTCCAGGCCAGCCTGGGACTATGAGACCCTGTCTCAAAAGTGGGGAGGGGCTGAAAGCAGACCAGGAACCTGAAGGTCGTCACTGCCCTCTCCCTACAGCAGCCTTGTCTAGGTGTGAATAGCTGGAGCCAAGCCCGGGACTTGAAAGCCCGCCTTCCCCATCACTTTTAGTCGTATTTCAGGCACCAGACCCGGCCTCCTTGCTGCCCAGGACTCCATGGATACGGAGATTGGGCCTCGTGTGGATAATGCTGTAGTGGACAGCCGCGTCCTCTGTCAGCGCATGGATGTGCAGCCAGCCGTATGCAACCTCCAGCTGCCCTCCCGAGCACTGCGCCTCACAACATCTTTCTCCCTGTGTATTGTTCTCAGGCTCTAGGACAAAATAATTCAACGAGATGGCATCTCAAGCTGTGGATTTTGTTCGTCAATAAATGTTGTCTGAGCTCTGTTCTGCTCTTACAGGCCCAAACTTGGCCCTTTATGGTGTACTACGGCAATCTCTAGCTGGGGTTCTGGTTGCCCGCCAGGCCTCTTGACTGCCCGGTTTTTATGTTCTTCATGAAAAGCATGACTGACACTTATGTCTTGAGTCACGGTTTTATGTAGGCTGGCTCAAATGTGCTGTGAGCTAAGGTTGGCCTTGAACTCTTGACCCTTCCACCCTTGCCTCCCGCATTCTGGGATTACACGCCTGTCTGAAGAGCCCTTCCAGGAGAGCTGCACATACCTGCTTTATGTCTGTGATCCTGAAAGGACTGAGAAAACGACAGTACCTGGTTGTCCTTCTGCATCAGGGTCCACAGGTCGAGGACATCCGTCCCACAGTCTCTGGCTGCTTGTACACATGCATTAGCATATTCACCCACAACTGCGTTCAGGCGATTTAGTTTGCACCCTGTCGGGAAAACTCCACAGCGTCACTGGCACACTTACTGCTGGTCCAGTTTCCAAGCAGCACTGATGCCAGCCTGCTTGGGGGTTATGACAGTGGCACTGCTCTGCACGGGGGAGGAGCAGCCAGCTGTATGTAGCATCTAGAAGCTTCTGAGGCACCAGGTTCGGGGTGCAGAGGCTAACCAGCTAGAGAACAGACTGCAGTGAGCTGGGAAAGGGACAAGATAGGCATGGTTAGAAAGAGACGTTGAGACCATGAGATGCACAGTGCTGCTGGGCCCAAGAGTCAGCATGCAGCCAACAGCTACTGCAGTAACATGAGAAAAGTCTGCAGAGACTAGTCATTGCCCGAGCCTGCTCCTACACAGCTGTGCCTGCGAACACCATGCACAACCATTCTGAGGCTCTCCTAGCCTGTGACGGCCATACCTATCTTATTCATGCTGTTGCTTTTTTGGGGTTTTTTGTTTTGTTTTTGTCAAGACAGGGTTTCTCTGTGTAACAGCCCTAGCTGTCCTGCAACTAGCTCTTGTAGACCAGGCTGGCTTAGAACTCACAGAGATCCACCTGCCTCTGCTTCCCAAGTGCTAGGATTAAAGGCGTGTGCCACCACTGCCCAGCTCATGCAGATTCTAGTACAAAGTGTGCACACTTAGCCAAGCACATGCTGCCTACCTCCCAGTCTAGGATGAAGGCAGACTTCCCAGGGCATAGGGCAAGCCTGCCCATCTTGGAAGAGCTGGGAAGAACCTCAGGAGTGCAGGTGGCTAAGGGAGGGATGTGGGGTACAGTAGGAGCCAGGCTGTCTAGCTGCAAGAGAAGGCATGAACGACTCTAACCTAGTTTTGGCTGCTGACGGGTGCTGAAAGGCCATTATTGTGCCCCGGTCAAACCCGTCCTCTGGATCCAAGCAGCTGAGACAAGAGTCCATAGTACACCTCTCCGGTCCAGCAGCTGGACCAGAGCTTGACTGCAGGTGCCTTCCCCATGCCCGACCCAGCTGCTGCAGCTGGCAGTGGGCCTTGTGTGCCTCTTAGTGTCTGGCAACTATACAGACAGTGGGTGACAGGGCACCGATGCCCTCCTGATTCACACACCAGAATCCCCGCCCCACTTCATATCTAGAACAATCTAGAGTAAGACACCCGGAGTCGATCCTTTTGAGTTTGTACATTGGTTGTGACAGGACCCTGGAGTGGAAGCCCTCAGCCCTGCATGCAGCTGTGACATGCCAAGCGTGCTCACTCACCTTTCAGGATGCATTCCTTCTCCCAGGCTGCTTCGTGCAGCGGGGGCGGGGTGATGAGGATGACTCGCTCCTGGGGGATGCCCGCAGACGTCAGGTACTGCACCATGTCCCGCAAGTTCGCTCTGTACTCATCCAGTGGGACGTGCTGCTTGGGGTTCTCACCTGTTCAAGACATGTGCACTCAGTCTGAACAGTTTCCAAAACAGCAAATGAGATGAATGGACTTCTGTAGCTTTTTAAATTGTTTTTTCAGAGTTTCTAGTCCAGACAGGTTCTAAATTCACTAGATATTAAAATGGGGTTTCCTTTTGTAGCCCCGATGGCTGAGATCTCCTGTCCCACCTCCCAGGTGCTGGGGCTAAAGGCCGGCACGCCCCATGCAGCCCTGGTTTTATGGAGTGCTGGAGAAGGAACTGAACTCGGTACTGTATACTGTACATACCAGACAGGCACTCTTCAACATCCCTGAGCCTTTGTGAGGTCTTGTTGTTTGTTTTTTGAGATAGGGTTTCTTTGTGTAGCTTTGGAACTCCCTCTTTAAACCAGCCTGGCTTCGAACTCACAGTGCTGAGATTAAAGGTGTGTGCCACCATTGTCGGTAGGCCTTTGTGTTTTGAGACAGGATCTTACCCTTTTTCAGGCTTAACTTGGAGCCTTCCGGTGCACAGACCACACACATGTGCCACCCCTCACAGGCAGGAATATATTGTTTGCAGATTTACAGTGTAACTGAGGAACTTTTGATCACCAAAGACAAAGACAAGATCCCCTCCTCTTCAAACGTTACCAAAACCGCTCACAGCTCAGACCGCAGAGGCTGGCTAGGGCATTTTGAATGTCCTGGTCTCTAGGTCCTCTACCATCAGCAAGGCTGGATCTATAGGTTGTGACATAAGACTGCCCCCATTTAGCCGGGCAGTAGTGGTGCACGACTTTAATCCCAGCATTCGGGAGGCAGAGGCAGGAGGATCTCTGTGAGTTCGAGGCCAGCCTGGTCTACAAGAGCTAGTTCTGGGACAGGCCCCAAGGTACAGAGAAACCCTGTCTCAAACAAAAACAAAACAAAAAGACTGCCCCAGCTTCAATCCTGCCTATCACTGACTGGTCATTTCACCTTAGAAAAATGCTTAGCTTTCTGAAGCTTAGTGTCCTCACTGGGGAAGGAGGGAACGGCAGCTCTGCCTCTTAGGGTAGCAGTGAAAACAGACAAGTGTGTAAAGCACAGACTGCACACAAGCACGGGGTGCTCTCTGCAGACTCCGTGCAAACCACAGGAGTAAAAAGCAAAGCCACCCACGAGCCTGCCATCCAAGTCACTGCTGGAGATAGGATGTGTTCCTGGCCAGTCTTTCCCTGCACCATGTGTAATTTAAGAACAAAACAAAAACAACCAAACAACAACAACAACAACAACAATAACAGGCCAGGCTGTGGCACGACCCTATCCCAGCACTTGAGAGGTAGAGGCAGGAAGATCAATTAGCCTTAGCTACCTAGTGAGTTTAGAGCCAGCCTGGGCTACAGGAGACCTTGTCTCTAAGAAAGAGACAATGCTTTCTTGCCAGAGGGAGCATGTGCCGTCCCAGAGACCAGCCCTCTGCTGGCCACTGTACCAGCTGAGGACATCAGAGTGCAGAAACAATCAATCAAACGTTATTTCAGGTGGGCCAACAAGGCAGTTATGTAGAAAATGAGCCCTAGAGGACCCGAGCCAACTCTAACCACATCAAAGCCAAAAGAAACCCTACACAGGTGAGTTCCAGGGACGCCCTGTTTTCTGGAAAACTCTCTACTGGGAGATACATATAAACATGTATTTGCTCGAGTCCAGTTAAAACAGGAATGAGCTAGAAACGCCCTTACCTTGGAGAGAGGAGTCGTTGGCACCGAAGAAGACGGTAACTGCCACCGGGGTTTCCACACTGTTCTCCTTCCTAATTAGTCTTGGGAGGATAATCTTGGCCCATCTGGTGTTGTAACCTGAAAATCCACGATTCAGAACGTCACATTTTCTGAAATTAAATTGATTTAAAAAGACAGGTTATAAGTAAAGAGTGGCTTCCTTGTAGTGCTTAGACTCTGCTCAATCCCCCAAACCCCTCAATAAGATATGAATTCCATACAAGAGGCTAATTCTATAGATGTTTATGGCCCCTCGGAGTTCATCTCAAATGGACTTCCTGATGGGTGATAATCCGGGCAAGTAGGAAATGTCAGCGATCCTCTAACAGGCGGAAACTCAGTGGTTTGGAGGATTACAGGTAGACATCCAGACAACATGAGTGCCCCCTGATCTCACAAGGTGGCAAACTCGATCCAGAGAGCCTCTGTTCCTCTAACACGCACTGAGGAGGAAAGGAGCTAACAGGCAAAACCCACTGTTTGCTTCTTCACTATTCAGACCAAGCTTCCCTAGGAAGCAGCTGAGTACGATCTGGGAACCGGGAACCGTCCTCACCTGACAAGTCGGTCAGCCAGCAATGCGCCCCATCCACCCGGCTGGAAAGAAAACTGAAGAGAAAAGCCGGTTACTACCCACTCGGCCAGACACAATGGCAAAGGTAGGGGCTACATCTTGACACCCCCCAAGCTTCTTGCCTTCCTTGCTTGGGAAGGTATCTTGGGAGGGACACTGGCTGCACTTGGTAGCTCTCTGGAAACGCATGGACCCGAGCCAGTCATCTACACTTTACTGCGACTTCGCATTAGAGGCATTCGTTATCCAGGTTTGTCGAGTTGGGAGATGACACCGTGTTATCCCACTTCTCCACAGCTGAAAGCCAAGGAAGTCAATGCTCAACTGATTTCCCTAACAGTTGTGGCAGTCCTCTGGCAGCAACATGCCATCACAACTACTTACAAAAACCTAAAAAAAATGTTGCCAATTACTAGGGAAAGCCATGCGTGAGCATTAGAAAAGCACTGGGAAGCGGTTTTCCTATCTCTGCGAAGGAAGGCATCCTGAGGAACTTCCTTAATTGGGGGTTAAACGGTCTCAGATACCGGGATTACTTTTCCGTACTGTTGGAATCATTTTGTTTTCAAACACTTGGTACAGGACTTGGGTCGCGGGAGGAAACGAGAGGTGAACTAGCGGGTTCGAAGTTCAAAGTGCCTTCAGTCAGGAACACGTAGGAGGCTTCGGGACCTCTAAGCACCCCATGCACCCCCGACGCGCAGAGGGTCATCTAAACCCTCCGTGCACCCCCGACGGAGCACCGAGCCATCTAAAGTCCTCCTGAAAAGACGCGGTTTCGCGTACCCGGAACGTCCACACCAGCCCGCGAAGGTGCACGGCCAGCATAGCACGAGGAGAAACCGCACCGGGCCCGCCCGACACGCGCAGACGCAACCGAGGGTGCAGTGAGTACCTGGGTGATGGAGTCCCCGAAAAGCAACACGCGAGGCCAGAGCAAAGAGCTCCCGCCAGCAACACGCTCACACAGCGCCATGGTGCCGGACTCAGAACACCGTGCCGGATGTGGAGCCTCCGGGGGGCGGAGCCAGCCGTGGGCGGAGCCTGGTCTTCTGTTTCTCCCGCCGGCTTTTCTGGGCCCCGTGAGTCGGTAGATCGGGGCTGTGGGGGCCCACTCCATCGCTCTGTGACCGGCGATAGCTGGGGTGCCCTGGGTTCTTAGAGAAGCTCCGTGTGCCCAGCACAGGCTGGCGGAGCTGAGACCTGCTTCGGCAGGCCCGCTCCTCCATCTCCGGCCACGCCCAAGTGGGGCTCGCCTCTACTTGGTTACTGGCCTCGATGGACACAGTGAGGAGACAACTTTGAAAGCCCGAGCTGTCCGGGAACCCTCACTCCAGACTGCCTGATTCCAAAGCATTAAAACGGAATGTTTAGCTCTAATAAATTTTTGTATGCTATGGGGGCCCTAGACTTTTGGTATAGGCCAAAGACATGGGAATTGGGCTGTTTTACAGAAATCTCATAAAGTCAGACTTATACTTTGTTACCAGAGCGCAGGAGTATTTACACACCTACGAGGGGAGGTGCACCGGCCAGGTTACAGTCGCGCGATTCTGTGGCTTGACTGTGCGTTGAGGATGAGGCTCTAGCCAACTCCAGGAGAAAGGTGGGGACCACTGGAAGGCACCACCGGCTCCAGCCAGTACTTTAGGAAACGAGACTAACGAGCTGATCTACACATCTGTCATAAAGCTAGCTCTGAGCTGACATGCGGATCCCATACAAAGGAGCGTCCTGAAAGCAGTGGCTTTAAACACATAAGCAAGGAATCCGGTAAGGGTGGAGAAAGGTTTCAAACCTGTGGCACAGTATTTGCTTTCAATTCAAAGCACAGGTATGCCAGAATGGACACTGCTTTTCCTTTCGGAGTCTGCGCAGCTGCTAGATCTTAGGATTTCAGCTCATGCTGCAAACACCTGCAGGTAGAACCAATACTCAAGAGGCGGCTCCCTGAGGACAGCTCAAAACCAACGGGCGAATCAGTCAGTGGTCCAGCAGGATTCAAGCCGTTTGATGCTGAAGGAAACAGGCACCCCAGAGAAACTAAGGTATTTTACTTGAGGTAACAGAGGTAAAGCCAAGAGTGTACAAAAGTTCAAGGGCAGGGGATCAAGGTAGTCAGTGCACGGGCGTCAGGGCCTCGTACAGCCGCTGGGCGGCCAGCTCCACCATTTCTCGGAGGGACTCGTCATCCTCACTTCCTTCTTCACATTCTACAACCTGGAAGTGAAAGCACAAACCTCAGCCTGGAGTCACTGGTGAATAAAGTGAACACATTAAGCCCCGAGGCTGCTGCCAGGATGCAGCCTCTTCCCTGTGCACCTGTGGTAGGCAGTGTCCCTGACCACAGTGACTGGACAGCCAAAGGGATGGGGCACGAACAGACTCCCAGGCCAGAGCCCCTCCATCTATCCAGCACACGGTACTCTACACAAGTTAGTCTGTGTGGCACGGATTTAGCGGCTATGGATGTGGTAAATTATTCTCCACCTGGTGCTAATTTGGCTCAAACTAACCATCTTCTGGTGGCCCTGCCTTACGGCTGCTGTTTAAAGGTGACGTTAGTCTCACTCTGCAGATAGGCTTCAAACTTGCTGAAACTCAGACCACACTCCTGAGCAGTAGCCTTACAGGCACGCGTTACCCAACCTAGTTTATGGCAGCATACATCTTTTTTTTGGGGGGGAGGGGGGTCGAGACAAGGTTTCTCTGTAGCTTTGGAGCCTGTCCTGGGACTAGCTCTTGTAGAGCAGGCTGGCCTCGAACTCACAGAGATCCACCTGCCTCTGCCTCCGAGTGCTGGGATTAAAGGTGTGCGCCACCACCGCCCAGCTGGCAGCTTACATCTTACAGCACAACCACAAAGCTCAGGGCCAGCCAGCTCGGAGAGGATAAGAACCTATCTCACAAACCACAGCAGGAACCAGGGTTGTTGGGACTACAGGCATGTGCTTCCACGTGCTCACTTCTGTGTTACGAGGAGAACCTGGGCTTTGTCCACATCAGGAAAGGCCACTACCAACTGAGCTAGCCCCCAGCCTCCAAACTGCCACACCCAATGGCCCGGGCTGCAATCGTATTCCTGTCTTCACATTTCACCCCACATATCTTGGGCAGCTACATACCCGCGTCTCCAGGTTCAGATTTGCTGTTTTCCCGTCCACTGTGACGCTGAGGACAGAGTCATCTTTCACACTGACACAGTCTTCTCCAAATATGTCCCTTTAAGTGAACAGAAAGTTGCTGTTACTGGGAAAATGCTGCTTTACCTGTGTGGGAGAATGATACTGAAGAGAGGCCCAAGTCCTGCAGTAGGATGCTTTCAGCAACCCTGGAGACACGCTGCTGACCGTCAGCTTTCTACAACAGTTAAAACACAGCCCTGCTCAGGAGGGTACACCACCATTCCATTTTTAGCAAGCACTAGTATTGGTTTGGTATTAATTTAATACTGGGGATTAAGTGTGGGGTCTTGCACTGGTCTTTAAAACTGTTCTGAGACAGGCCTCACACAGCTGCCGAGAACAACCTCCAACTGCTATGCAGCATAGGTCTTGGAATCCTCCAATTTGGGGCCAACTTGGGCAAGACAGTGAAGTTATGTCTCTAAAACATGAAACAAAATAAAAAACCAACTAAGGTCATTATTTAAAAGCCACTGTAAGCAGTCTGAAATTTCAGAAAAGCCGCCCAAACACTAAGATGTCTACGTTAAGAGTCACTTTCAACTTAAAGCCAGAAGCAGCCATTGACATGATCAGAAACTGCAGCATCCCCAGATGCTCAAAGTTAAAGCTGGCTGCTGGGTGATGGGTTCTGACACCACACTGCTAACCAGGACGTGAGGCCTAGGTGAGGAGACAGGCCCCTGGGAGCTTTCTCCTCCGTTACAGTCCATCATCAAACCCAAGGCTACCTAGCCATGGCAGAGTTCTCCGAAACCGTGAGGTACAATGTATCTTTCTTCCCTTTGTCTTGTAGGTATTTGTCTATAATGAAAAACTAAGTTATTCATTCAACAAGCAAATGAGAGACCAGCACTTCAGGCACTGTGTTAGGTGCTGAAATTATAAACTAATTGCCACTGGTAAGGGCTCCTAAGATCACTTGGAAAAGCATCTTGAAATCAGCTTAAAGAGCACCTACAGGAAGGCGCTGGCATTAGAAACATACTGAGTCTAGAGACATTTCATAGTTACAGACTTACTGGAAAGAGCCTGGAACACCCACTTTATCAAATAATTCACACCCAAGCAACATTTAAAATAATTCTTTTTTTTTTAAAAAAAAAAACTTTTAATGATTTATTTAACTTTATTTTATGTGCATTGGTGTGAAGGTGTCAGATCTTGTGGAACTGCATTTTCAGACAGTTGTGAGCTGCCATGTGGGTGCTGGGAATTGAACCCGGGTCCTCTGGAAGAGCAATCAATGCTCTTAACCGCTGAGCCGTATCTCCAGCCCCTTAAAATAATTCTTAAAGGCACAGTGACCAGTTGATCAGCACCCAGTCTCGACAAAAGTGCTTCGTGAGCACTCCTGGAGGCCTGTGGGCACTAGCATCCAGCACTGACCACTGGACATAACTTGGTACAACACACCGTAAGTTCAGCACTCCCACCGTGCACCCGCATGCCCATGCACCCGCACACCCGTGCGCTCCCGAGACTCACTGGAGCATGACTTCCAGCCTCTTGCTGTAAATATGCATCTCTAACTTCTTAGAGACCTTCTGCACGGCACCTAGAGGACAAACAGCTCAGTCTCCATTTTCCCGTTTACCATCATCAGACAGACAGGTCACCAGAGCATGGCTATGGAGACGTGAAGTAACCATGGAGACCTCAAAGTCAAAGCATGTGATGTGTCTGTCACATGCCCACTCAGGCAAAAGCATGTGCCGTGTTATTCCATGTTTTTATAAAGAAACCACAATGACAGTCACTTTTATTTCCCATATTTCTCAAACTTACATTTTGAAGAGAGATGAGTAAAATTATAGGTCCAATAATCCCAAAACACATTAAGCTCTTTTGTATCTAAATGTTATGTACATCTAACATCTGATACGGCATCTGATTATGGATGTTTACTTCTTGCTCTTGCAGAGGACCCGGGTTCAGTTCCCAGCACCCACTCGGGGCAGCTCACAACCTGTAACTCCAGCTCTGGTCTCTACAGGTGTCTTCATTCACGTACACACATGACTGACAGTGAATCTTAAAAAAAAAAAAAAACTCGCCAGGCAGGGCAGAGGTGGTGCACACCTTTAATCCCAGCACTCAGAAGGCAGAGGCAGGCAGATCTCTGTGAGTTCAAGGCCAGCCTGGTCTACAGGGAATTCCAGGATAGCTAGGGCTATATTAAAAACCCTGTCTTAAAAACTAAAATAAAAATAAAATAATGATAATAATAATAATAATTAAAGGTGCCTGCCTATTAATGACTTTTTTCCTTTTCTTTTTTAAACCCCAACAAACACACAACTTGATGGTCTAGATGACATCTTCAATCTGGAATTAAGGTCACCCTGGCACATCCGTTCATATACCTCCCTGGTCTGCACACATTCAAGTCTCTGCTCCCCCAGGGTAGGTTGAGCTAACATGTGACCCTGCCCTACTCAGAACATGTGTGCACACACACAGAATCTTTCCCCCTGTGGCAGTATCTCACTATGAAGTCCCAGTGCTCACTACGTAGCCCAGGCTGGCTTTAGACTTCGGGGACCCTCTTTCCTCTGACTCCCAAGTGTTAAGATTAAAGAAATGTGAACCACACCCAGCTTCTTTTCAATATTTTGGTGTTTGATTCTATAAGATAGGGTCTCCTGTAGGGTCCAGGCTGGCCCAAAATTGCTATATAGCTGAGGCTGGCCTTGAACTCTTCCTCCTGGCCAGAACCCTTCTCAGTGCTGGGGAAGGTTCCCAGGACTGGGTGCTCCTTATGCAAGTGCTGTCACCACTGAACCACATCACACACAGAGCAAATAGCAGCACCATTCCAGGGCCAAAGGCGGAGATGCTTACACTGCCATTACCCACAACCCAAATGCTCATCCGTGGTTCAAGGGAGGATTTGGATGTGCCTGGCTTGCTTATTCGTGTGACAGAGTGGTCCACACAGAAGACTTAG